TCCATTGGAGTGTCACCGCGCGCCTCCTCGTTTTAGTGGTCGCCAGTCGGGGTCGTGGGTCGCCGGTCCCCGACCGATCGAAAAGAAAATACATAAAAATTTTAGTTGTAGGTTTATTCTTTAATTTGGGGGTTTTGTGTTCTTGAAATTTTTTTTTGAGTGTATTTGTGCATGAAGAACTTGTGTTTAAGCGTGAACTTATAGAAGAAGAAGAAGAAGAAGAAGAAGAAGAAGAAGAAGAAGAAGAAGAGAGAGAGAGAGAGAGAGAGAGAGAGANGGAAGAAGAAAAAGTAGAAGGATTAACGGAAGATGAAGAAGAGAGAGAGAGAGAGAGAGAACATACTGCATGGTCGGGCAAGGAAAGAAGAAGAAGAAGAAGAAGAACAGATGGGGAATTGATGGGAAAAGAAAAAGGAAAAAAGAGGAGATAAATAGTGTTGGTATAACTGCAAATAAAAATTAAGGTGTTGGTATAATTGCAAATGAAAAATAAGATTACTACATGTGCAAATAAATTGATCTTGATGGTGGTGCGGGTAATTTCCTCTATGTGTAGTGAGTGTTCAAGAAAATAAAGAATAAAATGTCTAGGTACATGCGCAACCACTAATACTACACACAAATAACCTACTTACACACTGAACGAAAATCTAAAGACATGCAATAAAGATTCCAACGTCTCTGCAACTCATTCTTGCGTATCATCTCAAAGATGGTTTCTCATACATATATTATAATGATTGCAAATCTCTAAGGCTATTTATACTAGTAGCTAAATAAAACCTAGTCGTACATTGTGGATAAGATTTTATCCTGGTGACTTGTTGAAATGAGTTGTACACTAGCCATTACCTTATACTGTAGTACAACTCACGTAGAGATCATGTGGTTGCATGTTCCACTATCAGCTTTACCATTGTTTGTTTTATAGCTTGAAGTGCAGATGTGTACTTCTTATAACACTCCCCCACAATGTGAACCACATATGTTGCTTTGTCACATTCAACTTTGTCTTCAAGCTGGCAAAGAATTGGTCCCTCGGCGATTTTGTTAAAATATCTACAACTTGATCTCTACTTGGTACATGTAAGACTTTCAAGGGTTCCAGCTGCAATCTTCTCCCTTACAAAACGATGTAACTCAATGTGTTTTGCTCTTCCATGCAGAACTGAACTTGAAGCCATAAATATTGCACTCAACTTATCAACCCAAATTACTGGCTTTGTCTGTGGCTTAATACTAAGTTCTTTAAGCAAGCTGTTGATCCACATCATTTCAGAAGGGGCATGTGCTAAACTCTTGTGTTCAGCCTCAATATGAGACATAGAATCTGATATTTGTTTATTAAACTGCATGAGTCCAAACTCGTACCAATGAAAACAGAAAAACCATTTAGAGATCTTCTATAATCTAGATCAACTGCTGAATCAGAGTCACAAGAAGCAACCAAATCCAAGGCAATAGATTTCTGAATTTTTTTTTTTTTTTTTATCGTTAAATGTAAATATATAGATCAAAACTGAGTTTAGACAACCGGTCAACGGCATACAAAAGCGGAATGGGCAACCACAAGTCGATTCCTCATTCGCAATATAAAGAAGTGCGAGGCCAACCACAAGTCGGTTGATCACTCAGAAATCTCGAAACTGGAAATCAAAAACAGTCCAAATAGAGCTCGGCATCTCGACATAACGTTGGTCCTCGCATCAGAACATGCTTGGCTAGTGGTGCGGACCACGCACATCAACGCGCGCTGGAAGCATAGGGTAGCGGCGCTAGACCCAGGCCTAGCGGCGTTAAGGTTGACGTGGCGAAAACAGGGACAGGTCATGCCTAGCGGCGCTAGCGCCGCTATTGATGTCGTGTCACATGCAGGGCAGGTCAGGGGCTAGCGGCGCTGAATTTTAACATGTACTGCCTGATCTCTCTTTTGAGAGTTGAATTTTAAGACAAAAAATGATGGTTCCCAATATATATCTCAAATTCTTTTGAGAGATTTCCAGTGTTTATCATATGGATTTAACATGTACTGCCTGATCTTGTTAACCGCATATGCTATTTCAAGTCTTATAATAGTCAGATATTGTAGACCACCAACAATTTCTCTATACAATGTGCCATTCATGCAAAAGTCCAACTGATTTCTTTTGAGCATGTGGCTAGGTGACATAAGAGTTTTGAAACTCTTGGCATTAGACATCAAGGCTTAGATAATTCTTCTGTATATTTTCTTGTGAAAGAAACATTCCATCGTCATCTATATGTATCTTTATACCAAGAAAGTGATGTATATCACCCTAACCCTTTAGGGAGAAGGTTTTGCCAAGTTGAATGATAAATTCTTCAATCTCATGATAATAGCTTTCATTTACTATGATGTCGTCAAGATATATCAATACCAGAATCATTGACTAAGGAGACTTTCTGAAATGGATTGAGGTAGGATGTCTCCTATCTCAATATCCACTTTTGTCGGATTCCAAATCATAGCAATACGACCATGGTCCATTACTCCAAAATTATCACAAAAAGCCCATCCCCGAAGTCGGTTATGTACAAAACGAGAGAGACGACGACAGTCCATTTGTCTCCACAAGTCCCAAAACGTCTAGGTTATTCGCAAGGATGAGTTTGACAACCTCATCCTCTTTTAGGGGCGCATTAAGACCCCTAATATTCCACGAGGCGGTTATCATTGTTTGGAGGAGGGGGGTGCCCCCTTCTTCAATGTACTTGCTGTAACAACAAATTTTATTTTGAAGTCCCACTGGGCGTGCCAAAAATTTGTAACAACAAATTTTATTTAGAAGTCCCACTGGGCGTACCAAAAATTTGTAACAACAAATTACGTGTATTGAATTTATAAACACAAAAAATATTATTCAAATGAATTTATCGAATCAAATAAATATAGTGGATTACAATCTTTATTATTCCTCTGATTCTTCTCACGAACAATTTTAAGTCTTGGAGCGAAATCTTCGGCTTGATCCTCTCCTTGACTTGATTTGACTTGAATTAAAGTTAATCCGAGGGCCAACGCCTTGATTTCGGATAAAACGCTGTTATATCCCAAGAACGCGAAGAACACAAACCTTGGTCTTCGCCGCAAAGTAGATCTTGAATCTTCTCCACACCGGTTTTGAGTTTACTAACGTTATTCGGAGGCTTTGCAGCTTGTTTCCGGATTGAACGCCAGTCTTGAGGTTGAACGCGCTTAAATCTTGCTTTGAATCTTCAAGAACGCCTTTAAATCTTCACGAACACTTGAATCTCGTCGAGGGAATTCTCTAGAGCTCTTGAACTTGAATATGAATTATGATGTATGATTTGTGGCATTGAGGAGAGTCCTATTTATAGGTGTAGGAGAGAGAGTCTTGGAGAAGAAGACATCAATCTGATTGGTCATTCTTGATTTGATATAATCTCCTTTTTTATCCTAAGATTCTTTCTTATCCTAAGATTTGACTTGGTGGGCAAGAAATAATAACATTATTAATTATATATCTTATTTATTATGGATTTATGTTCAAAAATAAATAAAGACATTAATTAATAAAATATTAAAATTTTGATGTCTACAAATGCCCCCTTGAAACTTGTTCATTGACAAAATGTCTTGATAGTGAATGAGTCTCAAAATTTTAGATTTTGTTGAGACATGAAGATAGTTTAAACTCTTATCTAGGAATTCTTCAACTTGGGTTTGTAGATAGTTTAAACTCGTATCAAGGAGTCTTGAAGTGATTTGACAGATAGTTTATACTCGTATTAAGGAGTTCTTGATTTGGCATGATTTGTAGATAGTTTAAACTCATATCAGGGAGTTCTTCATTTGACTTGATTTGTAGATAGTTTAAACTCGTATCAAGGAGTCTTTATTTGATTTGACAGATAGTTTATACTCGTATCAAGGAGTCTTCAAATTTGTAGACATTTTATGCTCGTGTCAAGGAGCCTTCAAATTTGATATGTAGACCTCTTATTCTCGTGTCAAGGAGATCTTGATATATAGACATTTTATTCTCGTATCAAGGATACTTCAAGTTTGATATGTAGACCTTTTATTCTCGTGTCAAGGAGATATTCATATGTAGACATTTTATGCTCTTGTCAAGGAGCCATATAGATAGTTTAGGCTCATATCATGGAGCGTTTGAATTGGATATTTGCATAGTTTTGGCTCATATCGAGGAGCTTTATAGATAGTTTACGCTCATATCAAGAAGCATTGTACATAGTTTAAGCTCGTATCAAAAGCATTATAGATAGTTTAAGTTCGTATCAAGGAGCCATATAGATAGTTTAGGCTCGTATCAAGGAGCATTTGAATATGTAGACAGTTTAGGCTCATATCAAAGAGCATTGTAGATAGTTTAAGCTCATATCAAGGAACGTTGTAGATAGTTTAAGCTTATATCAAGCAGCATTTGAATTAGATTTGATTGAGCTCTTCATGTAAATTGCCCCCATGGAATTTGAGAATGATATGGAAGACCGCTTTTATTTCTCCTCCATTCGAATGAAGGCTTCATAGCTTAAACAGATATCATCCTTAACTGTTCTCTTGTACATTTTCTTTAAAGAGGTCTTCATGCATCTTCAAAGATCTCCACCTTGATTTAAAGAGAAGAGATGAGAGGTAGAGAATGTCCCACTGAGCGTTCCAAATTTGTAACAACAAATTTTATTTCGAAGTCCCACTGGGCGTGCCAAAAATTTGTAACAACAAATTTTATTTCGAAGTCCCAGTGGGCGTGCCAAAAATTGGTAACAACAAATTACTTGTATTGAATTTATAAACATGAAAATATTATTCAAATAAATTTCTCGAATCAAATAAATATAGTGGATTACAATCTCTATTATTCCTATGATTCTTCTCACGAACAATTTTAAGTCTTAGAGTGAAATCTTCAGCTTGATCTTCTCCTTGACTTGATTTGACTTGAATTAAAGTTAATCCGAGGGCCAACGCCTTAATTTCGGATCAAACGTCGTTATATCACAAGAACGCGAAGAACACGAACCTTGGTCTTCGCCGCAAAGTAGATCTTGAATCTTCTCCACGCCGGTTTTGAGTTTACTAACGTTATTCGGAGGCTTTGCAGCTTGTTTCCAGATTCAACGCCAGTCTTGAGGTTGAACGCGCTTGAATCTTTCTTTGAATCTTCAAGAACGCTTTTAAATCTTCACGAACACTTGAATCTCGTCGAGAGAATTCTCTAGAGCTCTTGAACTTGAATATGAATTATGACGTGTGATTTGTGGTATTGAGGAGAGTCCTGTTTATAAGTGTAGGAGAGAGAGTCTTGGAGAAGAAGACAACAATCTGATTGGTCATTATTGATTTGATCTAATCTCTTTTTTTTATCCTAAGATTCTTTCTTATCCTAAGATTTGACTTGGTGGGCAAGAAATAATAACATTATTAATTATATATCTTATTTATTATGGATTTATGTCCAAAAATAAATAAAGACATTAATTAATAAAATATTAAAATTTCGATGTCTACACTTGCTTTTATAAGCTCCTTTCTCATTAGGACGATGCTTCATCTTCATCAATGCCATTTTTTGTCCCGGTTGGCTTGAGTTGTTTTCTTGTTTGACATATTTATTCTTCTTGCATACCAATTGAAAGGATTGTTCCTCATCTTCATAGGCATGGGAAAGTTCCAGCCCTTATTCCTCTGCAGGATCACTGGTTGCCTTGGGCCTTTTACCCTCGGCTTTAGAAGGCTACGAGTTCTTGGCCACATTACCCTGGCTTCAAGGGCTTGGGCAATTTCCAGCCCTTGTCCCTTTTCTGGTTCACTGGTTCCCTTGGGCCTTTTAACCTCGGCTTTTGAAAGTTGCGCGTTCTCACGAATTGTCTCCTTCTCAACGGGCTGGTCTCCAGCCTTATTGAGCAACACATTGTCCCCGGTGGACTTATTTCCTTGATCTGAGGACTCAAGTTTATCAGCCTCACTATCTATGTGTTGGTGATGCCTCTTAGTTGCCTTAGTGACTCCTTTAGCATCTGCTGCAATTTGTTTTTCGGGTTGGGCACGACTCTTTTTCTTCTTAGACTTCATAGGCAAAATGTGGCATTTTGATGGTGGGTGGCCTATGTGATTACAACGATTGCAATAATGAGGAACGAATTCATTGACCACTGCTTGGGCAAAACAAGAACCGTTGGGTGTTTCCACTTGAATGGCATACTCTCGTTCCTTGGAGAGGTCTATCTCCCGTTCATAGCTGCACCTTTGTTTGGTTTCAGTAAGTTTTTCGGTGGTGATTGGCTTACCAATTCCCGAAGCTATTTTGTCTATGGCCTTCTCGTTCCAGCATTCAAGTGGCAAACATGGAAGATTGATCCACACTGGTAATCTTGATGTCGTCATCTCCAAAACGAAACCAATCGGGAAGCATTTTCAAAAGAAGGGAACGCCCAAACATCGTGTAAGGTCCACCATGGAGAACGCTGGTTCAGTCCTCTTTGGATGAGGACTTAAACATTATGCAGCCGTTAACATTCGGGATGCATTCATACTCCACTTTCCATGAGTTACAAATTTTGAGCAAGGCCTCTTTACCAGGATGTCTATGAGTGAAATAGCCCATGAGACAATATCCCCAGGTCTCTTTAACATCATCAACGTCATCTTTGTCCAGCTTGACAACTCCTTTTTTCAGGGCAGTGTAAGCAAGCTTGAGACCATTTGACGACTTTCGGTTTTAGCAAACAACTCACTAAAGAGGCGTTTGAGAGTTGTTGGCTTTCTATTGGGTGCTGAAAGTGCTCTTGCATCCACAGCAGTTGGTAAAGAAGGACCTGAATGATTTGCTTCTTTATCGGTATTGTTGGAATTCGACGAAGGGCTCACTCTATGGAAGTCCTCTCCCACTTTCAAGCTAAATAAGGAGAAGAAGTGCCCCAAATCGACTTAGGCATCTTGTCGAACTTGTTGCGTTTGCCATATTCGGGTTGTATATGAAGCTACTCTTGCAATGCCCTTTTTCCCCCAATTTTTTCAGCCCATGTGCACAACAGCAGTAAAAACATGAAACTCACCATTATAGTCCAGTATTGAAGTTGCCTCATGCGAACAAGCAACAACATCCCTAAGATCACCTTGCACCTTGCTTGCTGTAGCTGGGTTTCTAGGCTCACCTTCTTTAAGCCCAAGTTCATCTTGCACGTCTCGTACACAGGAATATTCAATTTTCAGATGGCGAAAAACAAACTTTTTCTTTTGTTTGGGCATTTTCCCCAAATTTAGCCTGGAATTGCAGCAACTCGCAGCGAGTACTGTAGCATTTTAGACCTAGTTAGGGAAAAAGAACATAGTCTGCTCTAATACGTAGGATTTCTGGTGGGAGAATGCTCGGAATGGAAGGCTAACGTCAAGTCGTTATGAACCAGCAACCAAAACGCACAGAATCAGCTGAGATTAATCAGAAGTAGCGAAGTCGCTGCTCATAAAAGCTGCTCGCAAACCCTAGAAACTCGCCCAAACTACTGGAAATCGACTTATACAAACTCGGAACAGAGGTTACGTCTATAGGATGTAAAGATATTGGATCAAAACATAAGATATCAAGGAAGATAGAACGCAATAGGAGCAAGGCGCCATGGAGAAAAGATTTCTTCCAAGGGAGGGATATCTTCTCTCTCTTCCAAGGGAGGGACATTTTTTTATTTTCTCTCTATGCTTTGTGTTTGGGAGTTCCAAGACTTGATATTTTTCGGCAACCTTTCCGGCAACTTTTTTGGCGACTTTATTTTTTATTCATGATTCGATCTTTACGCATTATTTTCGTCTGAGCTTGCGATAGGAGAGTAAGTACCTTGATTAGGGCTTATTACTTCGAGTTTGTTTCCTACTTGCTTATGATATTTATCAAGGTTAAGTTAGTTTATTGGCCTATATCATGTTTCTGTGCTCGGGTCTTGGATTTCACTTTAATTTTCTTGCGAGTTTGAGTTTTAGGAGCTAAATTTGTGCCTATCTTGTTATAAAAGTCTCGACTTTGTTTAACCTTGATTATTTAGTTAAGAAGGCTCGATTTATCTACCTAGGATCTCGTTGCTATTATATTTTCTCTTCGTTTATTTTCGTTTTCATCAAGTTGAGGTGACTTCGGATAACCAAAGTTCTCATTTTTCTCTCGAAGCTTGCATCTTTACTTCAATGCTCTTGATTTTTAGTTGTTATTAGCTTTAGATCAACCCCAATCACCATGTTTAGTATGTTAAGGATTTTATTTGCTCTTTTTGTGCTTTTGGACAACTAATTAGTAGGCGAACCTCCAAACCGTCTTCCTTTGAGAGACGATCCGAGTTTGGATAACTCAGTTATCAACCTATCCCGCTAGAATCAACTCAACACTAGGACTCTTTCTAATGGCTAGCATTATACAAAGAATTTAAGAACACTCCTCAATGGCTTCTCTGCATTTTTCTTGGGAGAAATCCTATTTCTTGGTGTTCCAAGAAACGAGCTTCTATTTCTCGTTCTATCACCGAGACAGAATACAGGAGTTTAGCTCATGCTCCAACTGAAATGACATAGCTTCAGTCTCTTCTCCATGAGCTTAGAATAAAATTATCTCACACACCTATGGTTTTGGTTGACAACTTAAGTACAATTTCTTTCTAGCAATCCAGTCTTTCATGCTCGCACAAAGTAATAGAGAATGATCTCCACTTCATCAAGCAGCAAGTGGCAAACCGACTACTTAAGGTGCACCATGTTCCTTCTATTGATCAAGCCGATGTTCTTACCAAGTCGTTGTCACACCGATTCTTCACTCAGCTGCAAAGCAAGCTTCAAGTTCTTCCAGACCATGCGTTCGAATTGCGGGGGGGTGTTAAAGATAATGCAACTGATCAATGCACTAAGCCTAAGGACCCACCTTGATCAAGGATGAACCAAATAGTACAGACCATTAAACCAACTGATACATGTTATTGATTTTCTTGGCTTTTTGTGCTCTTTGTACCTGCGCAGGTACAAAGAGCACCATGTATACGTGCCATTTTTCCATTGCTTTCTAGACTAGGGTTTCAGTGCATTTGCATCTATAAATAGCCTTGTAAAACTCTCTAGCCCCAAGGAACAATTAATGAGATCCGAAAATACCTTCTTTAGAATGGCTTGTTGCGCTTTAATGTTTCTTGTCAAGATATGGTTTTCTATTAATTTGGTTCCTTAAAAAAATATATAATGATTGCACCAATATACTGTTGGGAGAACGTTAATACAAAAACTTGTTCAAATCAACAAACAAACCAACAAGAAGTACAAGTAGAGAATAAATAATGCTAGCAAAATGCAGCAGCGAAACACCAGAAATTTTAGTGTGGAAAACGTCTTAAACGAGAGTAAAAACCACGGGACCCGTAAGCCACGTAATTCTTCAATTTTGTTCCTCTAGTTCAACAACTAGAGGAACAACATAAACATCTAGTTAATTTAAACCTTCAATTTTGTTAACAATAACACCATCGAGATATACACACTATCTTGGCAACAAATAAGAGAAACAAGCAAAACGAATGGGACAAAACCAAGACCGCAACAGTTTTGTTTTGCCAAAAGCAGGCAGCTCTATACCTGTCAAAATCCAATCTCCACCGTTCAGAACGAAGCTAAGTGGGTGACGAACCTGTTGGCAAAGTTTCGCAACGATCCAACTGTTCAAATTCTGGAAATCTGATGTTTACCGGATTAGCGGCCTTCAAATTTGAGAATCCCTAGTTTTCTCTATTATTTTTGTGTTCCTTTTATTTCTCTCTTTCTAATTTCACTTTGACACACCCCACAATGTGAACTAGGGTGTTGGGAAGATGTTGGGCCAAGCCCACAATGTGGACTGACCCAACATATATAGATTCCCATTCTTGATTCTTAACATCTTACGTAAAAATCGGAATAGTAGCAGGTCAGGCTAATTGTTTGTATAGTTGTATGGAGAAATTCGAATATTTTGTACAAACTATTATGGGTAGAAATGAAAACATGAAACATTTTAGTTTTAAAACAAAAAAGTACATAATATCACAAAAATTCTATGGAGCCATTAGATTGTTTTCTTATGGAGCCATCTACCATTTAATGTATTGACACATGTCCAAATTGTATTTATTCACTACAAAATTTATAAATTTTAGCGGCAGTTTATTTTTAATTTAGCGGCGGTTTCTAACCGCCACCAGTGCACTTACCAGCATTTATTAAACTGCCGCCTATACAAATGTCGCAAGTAATTTAGTAGCAGTTTCACAAAACCGCTGGAAAAAGTGAAGCTATATATTTATACCACAATAAATGCGTTTTTTGCAACATTAATTAGCGGCAGTTGATAACCGCATCTAATTACAAATGTAGCGGCAGTTTTTAACTGCCGCAATTTATATATATATATATATTTTTTTTCTTTTTTGTGGCGGTTCTCAAAACCGCCGCTAACATTTATCACTAACTAAATTACCATATCTGTAGCATTTTTAATTCCTGCCTATTCCATCATTCAATTTATTATAAACAAAATTATTATAACTCACTTGACGTCAAAATATCATGATTTACTTAACCAATAATATCATCCAACATGTAGAACAATTTACATGAAAAACCAACACAAATTTGTCCAATTTTAGAAGTCGATCACCATAGTTAATAAAATTCACCAACAAAAGTATATTAACCCAAAACAAAAGCCCCAGTTAGAGTATAGTTCAAAATGATACGAGTAAGAACCCTAAATTACATCACGACTAGAGGATGAATCTCTTCTTTCATTCTCTGAAGGAGGTGGATGAGTGCTTCTTTCATCAGAAGGTCCCTGCATTTGAAATAAAAATGTAATTAGTTATGTCTCATAACTTTAAACAAATATTACTACTCTAAATATTTTGACAATTGTATTACACTAAAAACATAAGTAATAAACATACACACTTTTGTAAAAATTACTCACAGTTTTTGATGTTTGGGTTAGCCAACTAGCAAATTGTTCGGGTACTTTCCCCATTGCATTTTCGAAAATTGTAGCAAGAGCCCCACCTAGATTCTTTTTCAGCTCTTCCATTTGTACATTTTGTGCTTGCAACTGAAGATTTTGAGCTCTCAATATTGATTTTGTAGCAGCCAACTCTTTTTCCATACTAGCAACATGTTCCCTCATTTGACCATCATTAGACCCAAATCGACATCCGAATGCAATAGTTGGACATGGTCCAAAACCTGCCCCACGAACACGACCTGCATGCTCCTTTCCAAAAACCCTACCAAGTGGGTCATCAGGTAAAGCAAACCGAGACTGGGAAGAATATGAACTTCGACTCATTTCCCGTATAATTTCATCCTATGAGGAGTGACAAAAAAAAAAAAATCATTATTTGTAATCTCTTTATTACCAGAAACCACAAAAATCACAGTATCCCTAAAAGCTTGGTGTAACATAAGTGTCTTTATATCCTAAAAGCTAATGTTTTCTTGAAAGTAGAAATTTAAACTAGATGAACAATGACATGCCGACACAGATAATAGAACTGAATGTAAATTATATTTGACCTAGTTGTCTTAAGGTGGTAATGATATTTACCTCTGTTTATGTTTTCCTTTTTATAAAGCATATGAGAATGTGAAATGACCACAAAAGATGTCTGGTTTCATAAATTAGATAGAGTCGGAGTATGTAACAATAGTGTGATAGAAGAGTTTATAATTTCCATAAGCATATTTCAGAAATCAGTTGAACGCATTTTTCAGAGACAATTTGGCGAGTGTTAGAGCAAAAACTTTGACCCCATTTGCAAGATTAGGGAAATCAGTTGAAATCAGTTGAACGCATTTGAATATTATAATAATCACAATACAATAACACAGTAAAAAAGAATCAAAATCCCACACTACAAAAATACTATTAGGGAAAGACAAAGAAGGATTTATTAACTCACTGATTTATTTTTAGCTTCATCATTAACATATGTCCCGTCTTGTCTTTTGTGTGTATCGAGCCATAATTCTGAGCGATTGACCTTACGCCCGAGTTCATTTTCCTGAAATGGTAATTAATTTACGTGCTAATAAATTGCATTTACAAAACAACAGACATTAAATAACAAACTAAAAGAAAGTAATCACAATACCATTTCAGCTCTCCTTCTAGCAAAACTTTTAGATCCATTAGTATGTGGAATTTTTTGACACTTTCTACTTTCAGCATTTATCCGACACATCTCCTAATAATACATAAA